CTAATTCATCTTCTTCTTTTTTTCCCTTCTTCATCTTCTCATTATTATTGTTAATATTTTTACTATTGTTATTATTATTAATATTACTTTTATTATTATTACTCTTATCAGTATTACTTTTATTATAATAATTATTTTTATTATTATTATTGTTATTATTATTATTGTTATTGTTGTTATTATTATTATTTTTAATTTAGAAGGCAAAATACTTTGGAAAAAATACCCGAAAACTGCCCAGTTTGTTTAAGACCAAAACCCAGAAAAAGACGGCGACTTCTGAAAGTGATAACTTATACCTTTTAAAAAAGGACATTGGACAGGAAAATCCGCGTATATACAGCAGTTTAACTGTTAGCTAAAAACCTCTTACTCCAAAAGATAACAGAGTTACATGAATTGAAAAAGACACATTCATTTTATGTAACTCTGAGTATTTCAAAAGGCATCGCGCTTGACAAAAATTAATTTGTTTGATTTGTGCCTGTAAGCTTTTGAAATATCAAGCATAATTTACTTATTGTCAGTAACTTACGCAAAGTATGAAACAATACCTGAGGCTGACATTTTTTCTTCTATTCCAGTCAGTGAAGCATAAAAAATACTTTACTTAAGGATACACATACAATCTAAATTAGACATTAAAATTTACTTGTATTATTAATCTCTTTTTTTATTTTTTAGCTGACCCCTTTTCCTCTTTTTTTTTCTTTTACACATAATGGCCAGCTTAACGGTTTATGCGTAACATTCAATGCTACGATGTTTGACCTTTGAATGTGGTTCTCAAAGTTTTAAAGTGGAATACTTCACCTCTTTTTATCGAAAACATTCTCATCAACACACGCTACAGTACAGTCATACTACCTTTGCCTCTCTCTCTGTCTGGAAGAATCTGTTTATTTTGTATGCTTCGCGGAAGCCGAGAATGTTTCTGAGTGTTCTCAGGGGGTCTGCTGGGGTAATTATAGTTGTAAAGCGCATAGAGCATGCCCTTGAGCGTAGATATGCGCTATATAAATGCAATTATTATTATTATTATTATTATTATTATTATTATTATTATTATTATTATTATTATTATTATTATTATTATTATTATTATTATTATTATTATTATTATTGTACTATTGTATAAACACAGTAAACATGGTCACAGTGAATACAGGCACAATTACTGAGCGATACGCTATGAAAGCACATTTTACAGCTTCCATATATATATTCTTTTAGTTGTACATGTAGTTGTGTGAGATTCTTGCATAATTTGTATTCTTCAGTCCCAACAACGTACAACTGAAAACATGACTTGGATGTGAAAGTTTTAAAGATCAAAATATAATTCATATCATATCAAATTGTATTGAATGTGTCATAGGCTTCAAATCGTACTTTATACCTGTTTTTGTCTCTTGATTTGAACTAGGAAGAGAAAATGAATATTTCAAGTAAAGTATGCAGTAGTTAGAGTAAAGGTAGCATGGCCAATTAGTGAGAGGACAGTGAACTAACCTGTCTCAGCTATACCAGAACGACGGTCGTCAGAAACTTCCAAATCATGCTCAACAAGGAGACTGAAGTGAGGAATTATAGTTATAGTAACTTATAGATATACGCTTATACTACCACTGACCGCTGTCCAAGTTGGCTCGCAGGTGGTCAGTGTGTGGTCAAGTCTAGAAGACTTCCGCCGTCTGCGTCGACTGACCACTTGGTTCGCTAGAGCAGGTGAAAAGAGCGAACGAGCGACCAGGTCTGTCGGGCACACGACACAGTGGGAAAGTATAAAGTCCTTCGGGATCTGAGACGTGGAATTGTGACGAAAAGCTACCACAGGCCGGTGTCAATCAAGGATCCGTTCCGACTTGCTTCAAAGTTGTCATTGGAAATATCATAAAGTAACACTTTTCAAGTCTACAAAACACGAAGTCACTTTTACTAAATGAAGTTTTGTCTCAAGTCACAGGCGTAGATCTAGCTTGCAGGTGAACATAACCCGAACTGAAATGAACGGCAGCAGGAACGATCACAAAGCCAAAAGTTGCCGCGATCAAGAACACCTCTACAGAATGCTAAACAAACATCTGTACAGAGCGAACATAATCTCCGTCGGCTCATGCGCTGCTTGGGCTGTTGTTGTCGTTGTTGTATGTAGAAGTCGTAGCACGGCCTTACTGCTGCTGCTACTGCTGCTGCTGCTGCTACTGCTGCACCGAGTGAAACAGCAGTGATAGAGGTGGAGCGAGTTGCTACTGAAGTAATGTTTACCAAGATCACTAGCCCCAGACTAGCGCTGTCCGTTTCGGATGAGAGAGGAGGAGGCGGAGGACGGAGAGAGACCGCGAGGGAGGAGGTAGTTCGGAGGGGGACAGAAAAAAAAGAGGGAGGACACGGGAAGAAACAAGTGAAGGAAGAGAGCCAGAGAGATCTAACAGCTACTAGCTGGCTTGGCTTGTTTTCGCCGCGGCTTCACAGTGAACCACCAGCCCCGCTACTCGAT